TTACATTTGGTGACGATCGACAAGAACCCTAAATTTTTGTTGTTTCAAAATTTTGTACCCCATTAGGTTGCGCAAATTGGTGGATATGGATTCAGTAAAAAATTTTAAAAGTCTGCAATCTATTATTTATGAAAGCAATAGATATTATAGGAGAAAAATGTATGACTATTATAAAAGAATTATATTTATTTATCTAGGATGTAATTATTATAAGGTATTATTTATAGCAGTATAAATAATTGAATTAATGAATATAAAATTTACTGTTAATAATTAAAAGTATTATTTATTTCAATTCATCTAAGGTGTAATTATCAAAAGGTATTATCCATAAATCAATATACATACATGTTGTTTAATATAAAATTATTATTAATTATTAATAACAGATTATTAATCAAAAAATTATGATGTATTTATATATTTATCTAGAATGTATATAATTATTAAAGTATTATTCATCTAGGATGTAATTATCAAAAGGTATTGTTTATCTCAATTCATAAATCAATATACATACATATTAATTTAATTGAATATAAAATTATTATTAATTATTAATAACAGATTATTAATCAAAAAATTTTGATATATTTATATATGTATATAATTATTAAAAGGATTATTTATCTCAATACATCTAGGATGTAATTATCAAAAGGTATTGTTTATCTCAATTCATAAATCAATATACATACATATTGATTTAATCAAATCTATTTTATTTCAAAAATTTCAATCCATATTAACTCAAAATCTTACATATTTGATAATTCATTTAATATATCAATGGGAATTTAAAGATGAAGATAATAGTGATTTTATTTCATTATTGCAAATACATTTAGATTGAGATTTTTATTTACCACAAAAATTTTGTTAAAGAAATTTTAAACGTTTTGAAAGATGTTTGGAATAATCTGGTGTTTAATTCTAATCTCACAAGATCACTAAATGAAGGAACATACCAATCAACTGTCATTGTAACTACAATTCAGGCTGTTTTAAAAAATCTTCCCACTGAAAACTCATTTTTTGTTAGTACATCAGAAAAACAAAGCATTGCCAGTGCAAATAGAAAAGGAGGAAATAAGGGAAGGCGTCCAGATATTATGTTCCTGGGAAATTATCTTGAAACAATCTTTGAACTTATGTATATCGAATGTTCCCGCTTATTTTGTACTCCACAAAAAAAGATGGATGATGAGATAAAATTGTGGCAGGAGGCAAATGATGGTCTTTGTTGGGTATGTCAGAGTCTCAACCCCACTAAAGAACAGTTTGGTATTGTAGGGATACAAGTAGCAGGAAATATATTACACTTGAATGCTCTTGTTTGAGATAAAGTCAATATACCCAGATACTACCATCTTCAATCTGCTGAAATTCCTGTACAATTATCGGACAAAAGGGTTGTATCTAAATTTATAGAAACTTTATTAATTTTACGAAATATAATACTTAGCTAAAAATGCCACTTTTTTTGATATGCATTTTTAATGGCTTTGTAATATTTAAGTAGTGTTTATGTAATTGTAATATCCTTTTGTAATGGTTAATGATATTTGTATTATATTTGTAATACTTTTTGTAATAGTTTATTGATAGATTATAAAATATAATAAAAACATTGCAGAAAATAAATAATCAAAATTGATTTGAAACTATTTGTAATTATTACAATGGATATATTACATTGTGCAAACTTTAGTGAATTTTATTTAACATTTTAGTAATCAAATAATAATTTCTATATGCCCTATATTGAATTTCAATGACTTAAATTTGACAATACATAATACTTATTATTTAATAAAAGATTAAACTGTAAATTATTTTAAATATAATCTATTCTACCAATTCATATAACTATGAATATTTATATCTTGTGCCAATGTTGTTCCACTTTCAGAAATGATATGTACATCAACAGTCATATGATCAAGAGAATGTAAATCAACTAATATAGTACTTTGCCATTCTGTCTGTCAAATTTTGTAGCATTGTTATAAACAGTGTGGTCAATATTTTTTCTCACAAAGCAACAAACCATAATTCAAATGGACTCTGCCAAGTAGTTTTTAAGTGCAATACAAGAAAATTGATCTTCAAGCAATTGGTCCCTTTTGACTTGCTTTAATTGTGGCTCAAAAATGCTGACAATATCATCTGTGCTAACAAAATTGCAAAGATGAGTTGAATTTGGAAGATTGTCCAGTGTTACACTATATGAAAAGTAATTCAAGTAATTCACTATTATTAATATGAATGTATGTAAATATTAATAAACATATGTGTGTATAGATGTATTTGTGTTTATAATAATATTACTATGTAAAAATACATGTATGTGTCAACACATAGGGGTTTTATATATTACTTTTTCCATATCACCATTAACATGTATTAAAAAAAAATTATTTACCTATAGCAGTCTAAAAAATCAAATGCCATCTCAGTACATCTGTCATACAATCACACTCTCCAAGTTGAGAACCATCCACAACCTTTTTTCTTAACATCACTGGCATCCATCTCAGTAACTTCAAGATATTTAGCACATTCTCTAGCCAATGCTAAGATTAGTTCTGGTGTTGGTTTACATATACAGAGAAAAAGGACTTTTGATTCATTGATAAATAAAGTTGCAAGCTGAGCCTATAATGAATATGTAAGTTATTATTTTAAGCTTAATTTGACAAAATTTCTTTGAAATACCCACATTACTTGAAGTCATGTTGTTGCTTTGATTTCAATTCGTGGGTGATGTGTTACTATTTTCTATTGAAGCAAGAGTGGATCCTGTGGTTGTTGAAAGTATGCTTGAAGTCATTGCT